TTTCAGCTGCCCCTTTTCAAAGTAATCCAAAGTTCCTACTGCAACAGTTTAAGGTAATAGCAAAGCACTGAACTGTTCAGAAACAATTCCTCTTTTCATTTTGTGCATTAGTAGCTCTTTGTATTACCAGCCCTTGTTTGCTTTTATTCCCTGTCCTTCCTCTTGTGATAGAGCAAAGAGGAACTGCTGACCTGAATCAGTTCTAGATTTTGCTTTTGTTTTGAAAATGTAAATCTCTTATTTTGTCAACTGTCCAAAATCTTTTTTTAGTTCTCTTCATTTTTTCTTCTGTCCCACCCTTCTCGTCTCTCTGTTATCCTTCTCAGTTCTCATCATGTCATATTTTTGTCACTCATTCTCTCAGGAATGCAGTAGAAGCCGTTTCCTCTCATCCAGTTCAATGGAGTTGAAAAATTGTATTGTTAGGGTTAAAATTGTTTGTTCATCTGTCACTACTGTTTGTATCCCTCTTTTGCCCTTGGCTGCCTGAGCTGTAGTGGTCTGTCTGTACTCTCTTTAACAAGATTTTTTTTCTTGTCCCCAACTTTTCCTTCTTTGACATTCCAAACAACCTGCCTCTTTTCCTCTCTCTCTTTTCCTTTTCTCCCTTTTCTCCTCCTTATTTATAAATACACTCACCTTACACTCAACATCACATACATTATATATGTGTATATATGAGTGAGAGAGAGAGAGAGAGACAGTCAAACCTATAATTATTCATACCCCTGGCATATTTTGACTTAAAGTTGTTTTTATTCAACCAGCTAGTGTTTTTCTTTTTACCAGAAATGACACAGGCATATGTACAATGTACAAGAGGCATCATTGTGGGAAAAAAATTCTCAGCTTTTGACATTTGAGCAAAACGTTTTATGTCCAGAATTATTCATACCTTTCACAGTAACCTATAGATAAGCCTTTATTGGTTATTGCAGCAATCAAACACTCCCTATAATAACAGACCAGCTTTTTGCATGTCTCCACCGGAATTTTTGCCCATTCGTCTTTAGCAATGAGCTCCAAATCTTTCAAGTTGGAGGGTCTTCTTGCCGTCACCCAGATGTTTAGCTCCCTCCACAGATTCTCAGTTGGATTCAAGTCAGGACTCTGGTTGAGCCACTGCAAAATGTTAATGTTTTTGTCTCCTAACCATTTCTTCACTACCTCAGCTATGTGTTTTGGGTCATTGTCGTGCTGAAATATCCACTGGTGCCCAAGGCCAAGTTCCTCTGCAGACTGCCTGATGTTGTCGTTGAGAATCTTCATGCATTGCTCTTTTAATGGTCCCATTTACTGTGAATAGGTTCCCTGGTCCTTTGGCTGGAAAACACCCCCAGAGCATTAGGTTCCCCACCACCATGTTTGACAGTGGGGATGGTGTTCTTTGGGTTAAAGGCTTCTCTTTTTTCGCCAAATGAAGGAAACATAATTGTGACAAAAAAATTCAATTTTTGTTTCATTTGACCATAGGTCAATTCATGGGCTGCATCCTCCTGAGGACGCATTTGCAGACCGATTACGTCACAGCGACGCGCCGAAGGCTGTAAAAATTCGTAGACTCCTCCGAATGCAGCCGACAAATTTGTCCTCCTTTCCCCCGAATTTGAAGGATGGGTCGGGTGTGTCCTTCGTGGCCTGTCACATCCCAGAATTCATAGCCAAACTCCAGTTTCCAATAATGGCGGCCGCTACTAAGTTTTAAAATTCCCCTTCTAATCTTTATGGGTCACAAAATAAACTTTTAACATATTTTCAGGCGAGAAAGTAGCTGTGTAAACATCAAATATCTGCTCGATTTACCAAGGTATTGCATATTTGCGAAAGTGCTTTGACTTTTCGGAGACGTCTGCTACTATTAAATTCCGGTTCTTTTTCCTGAATTCCTTTGCCGACAAAGAAAGACTGGACTCAGTGGTCAAGCTCAAAAAAAATCATCTTTATTGTACATTTCCGGAAACGGAGAACTGTAGACACGAACACGCACCCACAGTTCTAAAAACATTGCAAGCCAAAAGGCGTATATATAGTTCTGCTATATGTCACACACAGTTTTGATCTGGAGTGCACTCTGCTTAGTTTCACTTTCTGTATGCCACGCTTCCTGTTCTCTGCACAAAGCGTGCAGTCTCCTGTCAGCCTCCGACCTAGTTTATACTCAAAGTTGGCCCTCTCTTAAACTGGAAGCAAACTATATTAAAACAAGTAACAATAAGCACTAAATATATATTTATTTCTTACACTACCCACCAGCTCGATAGCTAGCCGGGAGCTCGAGGGTCACTGAAGCCGCCGAGAACGGCACAACTCCCGGCACATCATTTTTAGATCACCGCGGACTTTCACTACTCAGGTTAAACGTAATATATAAGTCACTTAGACAACCTAAAAATGTTATTGTTGGGCTTTTTTCAGTGTTTTATTTGTTCGTGAGTAAATCCGTTTGGGTGAGATTAAAGTTATTAGATTAGATAAAATAAAACTTTATTAATCCCCCGGGTGGGTTCCTCCTTGGTTTTTACACAGCTGAATAAACGTCAAACAGAAAACTGATTAAACAGAAGTATGAGACAGTCGAGAATTTACGCCAGTGTTCTGTTATATTTTAGATAGCAAGGAGCAGACGGCCGAGTTTATTAAACTCCACCGAGACAGCGGTGACGCTAATCAGAAGGCTAGACTGTCCAATTTCCCCAGCCTTTTACTTCGGGCCTACCCGACCTTCTGAGGACCTGGCCCACGTAGACCGCGAAGGCCGGGTCCTCAGGAGGATGCAGCCCATGAATTTGGACACAACCTTTAAAACTTAGTAGAGCCACCATTGCCGGAAAGTGGAGTTTGGTTGGGCCGCGCTATGAATTCTGGGATATGGTGGGCCACGAAGGACACACCCGACCCATCCTTCAAATTCGGGGAAAAGGAGGACACATTTGTCGGCTGCATTCGGAGGAGTCTACAAATTTGGACGGCCTTCGTCGTGTCGCTGTGATGTAATTGGTCTACAAATGCGTCCTCAGGAGGATGCAGCCCATGAATTTGGACACGACCTTTGTTGAAATGAAGGAATTACACAGCGGTCTTTTCCTGTTTCATATGTTAGCAATGCTCTTTCTATTTTTGGTAATTCCATGCTGGTGGAAACCCAAACAAAACACGCATTAAGAGGCTGTAATACCTGTGTCTCAATCTCGCGGCCCATGTCACCCCTACTTGCAGCCCGCATAATGATGTGACGAAATATTTTTTTTAATTATTGTTCAAAAAATTATCTAATATCTAATATGGAGGCAATAGGCAGAGTGTTACAGGCATAGACCTAAAGAATGTAGCCTCATGGGCCCAGTTGTAAGTAAGCTATTAAGACTCAACTGTACACTGTGTTCGTGTTTTCCTCCGAAACAATAAGTTCCGTTGGAGCAGCCTTTCAACGCCTCTCTCTGTCTCTTGCTAGCAAAGTTGACCCAGACAACAAAGTAAAGCTAGTTTTCGGCTACAAGGCCAACACGGAACCCGACGTATTAGCCCTTTACTACGGTTCGGAGCTGCAGACCTGTTTTATATACAAATAGTTTTCTATACAAGATCGCTGCAAAAAGTGCAGCCGTACCTAATGTCCACCCTACTGTTACTCATTTTATATTAAGATTTAAAAATCTAGTTGGTATCGGTATGGCAAGTAGCCTTCAGTAATAGTAATAAATCACACAGCAAAAGTACATGTAGTTGTAAAAAGCATGATAATACAGTATATTAAGTAATCCAAAGTATTCAGAATACCTTACTCTCAATGAGTTACGTAACGGAATACGTTACAAAATACATTTTGGGGCATGTAAAGGTAACCTTCCCAACACTGCTATTGGAGTATGGAGAAGTTTATTTTAAACAAAATAAAAGTTTTGGTTAAAAGTGATCTGGTGTTCACCAGGCACAGGCTGGAGCACAGGCGTCAACAAGTCCAGAAACCCGACGCAACGGTCTCAGTTTTCGGCAAGGTTCACAGTGGAGGTTTAGCCTGGGAGACCATGGGCAACGAGGCCGAAGAGCATCATCAAAGCCAACCATGGGCACCAAGCAGGCATCAACAGCATCCAGGAAACACAGACACACAAACAATCTTGGGAACAATCCAGGCGCTAGGGATGGGTACCGGTGTCCGGTGCCATGATGGCACCGGTTCTGACATAAACGGTAGTAACCAGACCGAAAAGCAGCGCACATTTCGGTGCTTTATTTCGGTGCTTTTTTCCCCCTGAGCTGTGATACACTTTAGATTCTAGCCAATCATTTTACGTTTCCGAGGATAGTAGGCGGGGCCAAGTACGTACGTTCAGTTAGAGCAGAGCTACAGATTAAAAATGTCCAAGGCGAAGCGGTCAAAAGTCTGGCTGTACTTCACAGCAAAATATGCAAACTCAGCAGCCTGCAACAAGTGCTTTAAGCTGATACTGTGATACTGTCAAAGGAAGTAACACCTCGAATCCGATGAAACACCTGGCGACGCATAGCGGTTTTTTTTTAAAAGCCGAGAAATGCGCCGTATTTGATAGCTTGCTGCGAGACCTCACACTGTGCACGTTGGGTGGGTTGCCAGTTATCGGACCCGGAGCAACATCCCCCAAAAACACGAAGAATAGAGTCCTGGCCCCTAGCCCTGCCAGTGTAGCAGAAATGATGAGGATGATGATGGCAGCAGAAGCCGTTCTTCTCTGCGTGAGCCGCTTAATGTTGTTCGAGTGTAATTTACGTTGAGTAGGCTAACCACGTTATTACATTAATGCATGTAAGGTGAACTAGCAAAAATCATCATAGCTACATGCGGCTGTCCTCTTGTTTGATGGCAGATACTCCCTTCACCCTGGACAAAAAGGCTAAAATGACCAAAGAAAAAGTGGGAAACAGCTGAACATGAGAGGTCTTTGGACGAAGTTTGTGTTTTTTTTCCATTGTTTAAGCACTGCTTCCAGCCAGGAGTGATACCATATATGCCCCATAGCTGC